TTTGTAGGGTTCTCACTACTCAGTTAGATCACAGAAGTGATTCTCTCAAAACTTCAGACGACACTATGCATCAGAAAATTCACTCAGTGGTTTACAAAGCAAGAGTCACAACGTCTTTTCGGTCACTGATTTTTAAATCACATTCGGCCATCTTATCGTATGAAATAAATGAAATGAAAACCACGAAATGTAGGATTTACATCCCACCATGAAATATAACCTGTTAGCTCAGAAAACAAGGGTCACAAAGTTTTTTCAATTGAGTTTTCAAAATCCTAGTTACCATCATCAGCTATGCCAATTAAGCTTTATATCTATTCACTCCAGCTGTCTTAGCTTCCTCTGAACAAGAAGTAACCTTATGGTGTAGTATATGCATGATATTTCATGTCACCACTAGGATCTCGGAAAGCAATCATGACACCATTTCAGTCAGCAAACTCTTGGCTCCCCAGACATCATAGTTATTGATTAACAAGTGGAAATAGGGAATGTAGTGGAGACATTGTACTGTTAACATCACTTTATAGCTTGGAAAAAAAGGATTGTCACTTCCTGTCAAACATTGGTTGTTTAACCTAGTGGTTGTTCGAGCTGTTGTGATGAAAGAGTGGTAATCATACAATGTAGTGCATACTTTGTGCTTTATATTACCACTCGATGGCTTGAAAAGAAAGGAATGTCATGTTCTTTCAGTCAGTAGTTTTTCAGTTATCTCACTTTCTAGAGATCATAGTGATTGATCAATCCCACGCATATCGACTGGGAGATTGACATTAGTGGTCATATCGACATTGGGAGCTGTCTTGTGCCTTTAACTCCAGCAATTATTCACCTGTGTCATCATGGAGAGCCAGATAGGTGTTTTCACATTTTCAAATCGTTCACCTTTTGGTAAGTCAGTATGACTCGAGATGGTATCTTCATCCTCCTTTGACCAGTCAGTCTCAATCATAGAATCCTGATTAAGACAGTGTACCACAGGCTCATCTAGGATGTACAGACAAAGCTTATTTACATGTTCCACGTACTTGTGCACCTGGCATTCATTGTAACGTGTACGTTAATGAATAATCTGCCAGAGTACAAGATATGGACAGGTTTGCCCAATCTTCAACCAACGACCTCAGATATATGTGTTGGTACTTGTATACTTGCTTTCAGCTACAGTGTAATGGATGCAACCCTAACGATATCACTAGCATTGGATACGTCCATTCCCTTACTACATCTCTAACTATTACAGCATATAGCTGAATAGCTGATCGGCTAAACTTACAAAACATCATTGGGTCTTCATCCCTCATCAGACAGATAACTGCCCAAATGAACGTTTCTTTTTTTCTGGACAGGAAACAGTTCATTTCGTGCACACCTTCTATAACCATCTTACATAGTATCAACATTCTAGACTTTGTATGTAGTAAACCATGGAGCACCACTTGTATATATGGAACTGCTGTTATTCTCTCCACTACGTAGCTCATATTACTTTTTTTTTACATTAAAATGTAGCCATAAGTAATATATATGACTTGTTGAACCACATATTCTATGTGTTTCTGTGACAAATATGTGACACTCACAGTGCTTCTATGTATATCCCAAGCCAGACCCTCAAGTTTTTTTTTGTATTAAAGTATACACCATATGTTATTTATTGTTATACATGAGAATCAGTCTGGCTCAAACGCGGGTTTTAAGTTTTTGGGATAAATATATATAGCTCATAGTGCTTATGTACATGCCACTAGTGCACTGGTGAAAAAGTAGACTCATAGACTCTCCCAGTTTTAATTGTTTTTTACATTATAATATTCATAGGCAACAATGTGAGAAAAGTATATTGAATTAGCTATATTCCTTATCAAGTTCACTTTCGGTTTCGATTTAAGTATATAATTTGTTCTGAATGTCAAGGCCTGTAACATGGGCTCCTGGTGCTAAAGCACAAGGGACCTGGAAGGGATGGAAGGACAGAAGAATAAAAAGAAAATGAAGAAAGAGAGGGATGTATACTCTCACACACACTCTCGTAGTATCTTAGACTCAATAAAAAAATTACATCTTTCATCGAGTTTGACGATAATCAGAGAGCCCAAAGAATTGATCAATCGAAATCATTTTTCAATGTGATGTTTTACAGCTTACTGATATGTATTTCAATGATACAACTCTTGTTAATTTTTTTTATAACCTTTATATTACGCCAACTTTAAATGCTAGTGATAGTGGCGGGATAGGGTTAGAAATAAACACAAATAGTAGGATTAGATTTAAAAAAGTAAATTTTGAATGAGAGAAAATCATGCCATAACTTTGCCTGATAAGAGGCATATAGGGGTAAAGGGTGAGATCAGAGCCCGGAATTTCTCTGATGGGCCTTGCTGACCAGAAATTAGTGCTATCTGTTTGTGTCCAAAATGTTGACGTAGATACTTTACAGAAGTAAAGTACAATGCAGTTTTGTGGTATCTGTATTAACATAGCTACCAGTATGATATTTGTTCTTTTGTAATTTTTTAAACCTTCGGTGCTGACTGAAGGATGGAAACCATCTTCAATGAAGACGACAAACAACTTGAGATAAACATTTATCTGAAGTTGTTTGCCATCTTCATTGAAAATTATATTTGTCCTGCCTAGTAATTTTCGATGTATATGTATATCTGTGGTATATTATTGTAAAGAATTAAGTGGAGTTTATGTTAACAGTTATAAATAAATGTATCATTTAAATGTGGATTTGAAAAGTGACATTAATTTTTGATGTTTCGATGTTCTTTTATTGGTGGAAGTGGTGGGCGAAACTGAAAGGTGTTGACATTTTTTTTTATGCTTTGGCCTGGTGATTAGGGCGAACGACTTGCGATCTACGGGTCGTGATTTCAAACCCCTTCACTGAACATGCTAACTCTTTCCGTCGTGGAGACGTTATAATGTGACGGTCAACCCCAGGTTTCGTTGGTAAAAGAGTAGTCCAAGAATTGGCAGTGGGTAGTGTTGACTACCTGCTCTCCCTCTAGTCTGTCACCTCTAAATCAGGATGGGCTAGTGCAGGTAGCTCTCAAGTAGCTTTGCGTGAAATTCAACAAACAAATAACAATTAACTATTATAACATACACCACATTGCTTAGATAGATAATTTAATTTCACTATTTCAAACTATACTATAAGACATCACACTTAAGTTACAACTTATTTATTTGCTCTACTTTAAATATTACAAGTTATATTGTACTTGGTTGAAATATCTCACGCGTAATTAATGTTTAACCTATACATTTAATCATAACCTGTCAATCAGGCGCCTAGTGGCTCACCGTAAGTCGGAGATTTCAATACCTGAGGTGGGAAAAGCACAAATAGCCCATTGTGTAGCTTTGTGCTTAATAACAAATAAACCTGTCAATTAGTTATAATGTCCTCCTCAGTTCTGAGAGTCCGAGACTGCGGTTCTCCATTGTTCTGTATTCCTCACTACCAACCTCTCCCAATTCAAGCTTTTCTAACTAGGGATAAGTAGTGTGGTAGAACGCCCAGACCCCTATCGCACTCGAAGAGTATTAGTAGACTGTCAAGAAATGATGATTGACATAGTTTTAGGCGACAAATGCAATGCCAAATAACTCTCTGACGAAGCTCATACATCAGAGAGGTACTTGTATTTTGTTTTCATGTCAAAAACTACTAATGTTGTCTGCCGCTGTCTCTAATTTTGAACTATTGATCAGATGAAAGGAAGTCAGTCAGCAGAACCTTACCACCGACGTTAAGAAATTAACTGTTACTCTTATGACGCACCTATAGATTAAAGTGCGGGGAATATTATGTAGTATCGCACGGATTTGAATGTGTCTCGCCAGCGTCGATTTAAAGAGCAGCGCCACAGCGCCGACCTGTGCCTCCTTAACTGAAAAACCTTTACTTCATGCTTTTATCTTTCACATTGGAGTGGTAAAATAAGGAACGGCGGAATAGAATAATGAAGGATGAAAGTAAACACTTTTTCTTCGTTTTTAAAATTAATACACTAAATGAAGCTGCTGTATGAAATTTGCCTTTGCTTATAGAAAAAAGAATAAAACTTAACTCTATTTATGTTGCTATCATTGGAAGCATAGATATCCGCAGAAATTGTTCCAGGGAAGCAAAGTTAAAATCAAGGGACGATTGACCCGCCTTCAAAGTATTGCCATTACAGTCAAGAGAATAGACAAGCTTCCACAGTCAGATTTGCTAGGTTTAATATTTGTAAGCAGACTTGTAGCTATATGTACTCCATATTCTACAAGACTGCGTTAGTCTTCTTGATAACCTGCTGCTAGTATTTCCACCAGGTGACAACTTGTTTATCCCAATCATAGAGTGTCAGGGCTCGGGATGTTGGCAAGAGCGCGTCAGTCTCTTCGATGACCTGAGTAAGAATTGCAATGTAAAATATCCAAGAAGCTGCCGTGGTAGCGACGCATTTCAATATTTAGCTACAGGGTAGATATTTAAAGAATTTAAGCATAAATGCTGACAAACCTGGCGACTTTTATTAAAATTGGAAATTAAGTGTAATATGTAGTGTGAAATTGTGAAGTAAATAAAAAAACTTGTAAATTAAAATACATAAGCTGAATGAAAAAAGACAGAATTACGTTTCTCCTTCTTTATGTTTGGAAGTAAGTTTAGAAAATATAAGCATCTTATGAATTGTAATTTGCAGTTCAACGTTTTGGTCACAGCCTTATGATTTTGGTTGACTGCAAGCGCTAATACATTTTCACGGTATTGGCAAATTATATATTTAAATATTAATACACAGCATAATTTTAAAAAGGCTGTCTTTATTTAACCGTTTTTTATTATACTCGGGGTCACAAAATAATTTATTTATTCTACTACAAATGTTACAAGTTGCATTATATTCTACTGAAATATGTTTGGAGTACTTAATTTGATACATTATCATATATGCAATGTTTTTTACAGTGAGAGGGCGAGCTATAAATTCTGGCACAAAATTAATTAAATTGTTGAACAGTGAGTTTTAGGATGCAATTATACACTAACTTTAAAGTCTAAGGTAAGTGGTTTACAAGATCTTACGTCAGTTAAAAACAAACAAATGACATACAGGCTATTCTTCTAAATTTTTCCAATGTAAAGAGACTTAAAAATTACACTTACAGTTTGTGAAAGTTACTATTTTGTTTAGTACGAGTAGTACTACTACTACTAGTAGTAGAACCATTAATATTATATATATATATATAAAATATATTCAGTTAAATCTGGCTTAAATGTAAGGTGCTACAAATACAATATAAAGTTATACGTTCTGTGTCATACTTTACAGAATTTCATGTATTGAACTGCTTAAAAAACAAAACCAGAAGTATTAAATTTAACTTAATATTAAACTATAGTAGATCGAGCACTGGCAAATATTATATGTACCATATCATTGGCATATGTCCTGTGGGTCTTCTTGACCTCGTGAGGATTTACAATTACAGGCTAGCTGAGCGTAGTAATTAATATCTGCTGCCGTCGCTGGTTACTTAACCCCTTATGTAAAATTAAAAGTTAAAAATTCTTCCTCAAAGATGCCCTATTGCCCCCATCCCAAAAGATGCCCATGTTTATAGTACTTTTTTAGCATCCACTAAACTATAGTGAGACATAAACTCAAACAGCCTTTATCATGTACATATTTGTCAAGCCTTCCCTTAAATTTACTGCATCTACACCTTTCAAAGGCCAACTCTGCCAAAATATTTGTCTCCTGGTTCTACCATTCTCACCATCAAGTTCAAAAAGTAGCCCTTTTCTGAGCCTTTTTCAACAATTTAGTGTCTTTCCCAAGGTAAGGAGCACAAGACTGAACACAATACTCCAAATGAGGCCTAATCAATGATCTATATGATAAAATTATAATTTCTCTAGGCTTGTAAGTTTTATTCAGCATTCCTATACATAAAACCTAAAATATAATTTGCCCTACCACCAGTAACAGCAAACTGCTTCGATGGTATAAAAGAGTGATAAATTAGAACACCAAGATCCTTTTTTTCCCAATAATACTGTTAAGGTTATTCTCATCAAAATTACACATAATTCAACTTGCATTAATTATAATTAAATGTCACCCGCCATTTATTTGCCAAGCTCAAGAAATCTAAATCTTTTTATAAAGCAGCAGCATCCTCTTTACAACTAGCAACACTTAAGAACTTAGTATTAGCAAATATAAACATTTTAATGTAAATCAGAAAAAGTCTTAACATTGAGACCTGAGGTACCTCACTTGTTATATTATTCAATTTGACTGAACTCCATATATAACAACCCTCTATTTTCTTCCATCCAGGCATTTTCTATCAACAAGCCAACTTGTCTCCCACAAATATAGATATAATTTACTTAACAAGCCTTTTTTGTGGCACCTTTTCAAATACTTTTTGAAAATCCAGATTTACCAAATCTACATCTTTACTTACCCTCATCTGTATTAACTATTTGTGGACTAACAAAAACAATATTAGGAAACCTTGACAAAATATCTTCCATATAAATCTTATTATTTAAGCTTCCCCATTTTCTTAAGTTCAGAATTAATGTGATTGTATTGTTTGATCTTGTTTTCACTTATCATCTGTTCAGGACGAGGAAAATTCTTTGAATTTTCATTAGAAAAAACTGAAGAAAAAAAGAATTCAGTAACCAAGTCATCTCATAATCATCAGAAATGAGCCTTCCTTTATCCCTCAAAAGCACTTCTGCCATCCTAACATTGTGCTTGCCCTTAATGTATATAAATAAATCCTTACATAATTTTTACATTTTCAGCCAAACTTTTTCATATATTTTTGATTTCCTAATGTCCTGTTTGATTCTTACTTTCTTAATTTTCTATAATCCTCTAAATCTCATGCCATAGCAATTAGTTTAAACTTCTTAAGCTTATAATCCTTTATATTCTGTGTGAGCCAACCTGGGTTTTTACTTGCATATTGAATATTGAAAAACAAATGTACATTTCATTAGTATATTCAATTAATTCAGTTCCTCAACTCACAACAGATAACTGGCTTTCTTAAAATTTGTATCTAAAATCTCATTATTCCTGATCTCTATATTCAGTGAAACATCAACTCTAATTGAAGAATGATTATTTGCACTCTTAGATGTTCCACAGTCTCCACCCTCTCAACCATTTCTGTATTAGAAGTTAACAATAAATCTAAGATAGCATTGTTTCTAATACGTTCCCTGACAAGTTGGTGAGGAAAAGCATCCTAATGGTTTCTAAGAACCTGTCTCCTTCATGGTGTGATTCTCAGCATTTCCTAATCTATATGTCTGAAATTAAAATCCTTCATAACTGACATAATCATTAATAGCTGAAATCTTAATTTCGCTGTAAAGTTTCTTATGAGTTTCATCAGTTGGCTTTTAACTGATTCCAACTAAAAGCCTTCTCCCCCTATATCCACTAACAGAAACCCAAATAGATTCATTCTCTTTGCTGTCACCTGTGATATTTTCAATTTCAACAAGATATAACAAACATTTTATGTTAAGCCACTTCTCTTCCTCATTTTAGTACTCTATCCCTATTAAATAACTTATAATCGTGTATTTAAAAAAATTTCTATCGTCAAAATAGTTTCAGCTATTCCCATTATATAAAAATCTAACATCATGAATCAAAATTCTTTATTCAGACTTGTGCTCTTAAATTTGTTTTTTGTACTTCTGGCATTATAATAGTAACAATTTAATCTACTATTATTACTACTTCTGTATTTTATTCCTACACATTATATTCTTCTCTTATTTTTTTCTTCATTTCATTCATCCTGGTTCTTGCCACTGTCTAGCCCTAATTTAAAATTTTTCTTACAGTCATGCTAATAACCCTTACAAACAAGCCAGTATCTACCCTATTTAAATGTAAATCTTCCTTTTATCAAACTGATCCTACAAGTCCAACTAGCCAATCTGCTGGTACTTAAATATTAATATAAGCCTAGCATTCAGCTCAAGTGACTTGACAATGTGCATTAGGTTTTATCAGTTGTTATTCACAATATTATTCATTATGGGAACTGGAATTGCTGTATGCTATTGTGCATCAATTTTTGTTGCAAAAAAACAAAAGGAAAATCTAACTTGAAGTAGACAAAGAACAAAAAATACTCTCACAACATTTTAAACCAAAAGACAGTTTAACACTGATAAATGGGCAGTTACAACATCTTAAGCTATCTCCAGTGCCATCTATATTTCAGTTTTACAATAAAGAAAAGGTTATTACTACAGGAAATTTGAATGTTTAGATAGTAATAGAAAAAGTAACTTGTTTAGTTCATATTTTTGGTAAGTATAGTAAGCCTATGTCACAAAATAATTTCTTGTATAAACATTTATTGTACTTGCAAGATTTTATTTGTAATTTGTGGTCTGACTAAGCCAGAAGGATATGAAATAGGTATTTGGTGTAGAATAAACCTAAAATAGTTACTTATTATCATTAATTGTACTACTAATATTAATAATTATGAACACAAATTACAATATTCAGTTTTTATTTCATATTTTCTTTACTCTAGAACTCTGACATAAGAAAACATCCAGGGGACAGAATAATTTAAAATGTTTTAATATAAAGATTAATTTTTTGAAAATAGTGAAGTATAGATTAGTAAATGTCATTATTATTCATTAGTTGTAACTTAATTTTTATATGTATGTTTATTGTTTTTTTTTTGCAGTGATGTCTTTGAGAAATATCAACAGAGTCCTATCTCTTAGACATTCACTCTGAAGTGAAATACTTGTCTGCTGCACATGCTCTGCTTTTAAAAAGTTGACACACTGTATAGGAAAATCAGCTTGTGGTGTGCAGAGAAAACTAGATCTTTGGAAAAGAACATTATGGTTTACAAGAAGATTTGTGTCCTTACAATGGTAGAAAAACAATTTCAAACTCTGTTATAAGTATTGAAGATATTAAAAATATTTACATAGAGGGTATCCAAAAAAACTTAATTTAAAAAGAGTACAGTATTTCACAATTTTAGTCCATGTAAAAACCAGAATGCCTTGAAAGGAAATTTCAAAACCTTTGAAATAAATACATAATTAATTACTAGAAATGAATAACAACTCTATAACCCGAGCACTTTCGAAAGGTGGCCCTTTCTTCTTCATGTTCAAACTAGAATTTTCACAACTTGTGAGCTAAAAGAAATGTTTGCTATCTCAAGCAAAAAATAACAATTTACATGCTTTCCAGTTTTTGCTAAATATCCAGATACAGATATTATTACAGATTGTATAGAATTCAGAGTTCAAAGACCTTTGCTGTTTTGGCACTTAAGGAGACATTTTTCACCCACATTAAACACATTTAAAGTATCAGTAGGCTTATCACCATTGGTGGGTTTTGTCTCATTCTTACTTGATGACAATATTCTGATCAATTCTGGTATTCTGAACCAACTAGAACCATGAAACATTATTATGGTGGACAAAGGATTTGAATTTACATATATTTTTATGCCTGAGAACATCATACTAGTAATGCTACCATTTGTTAAAAACAGGGCAGTTGTTTCCAGAAAGTGTGAAAAAAAATCTTAAGTACAAATACATACAGATTACAAAATTCTTAGTGTAGTTAATGGCTATCTGCTTTTGAAGATAACTGGAGTAGCAGAACAGGCTATCATTGTCTGATTTAAAGTGACAAATCTTATGCTGTCTTTGATAAAATTTTGTGGCAAAGGAATACTTGTAGCCATCAGGATGGTTTATTGGAACATTATAGTTTCCATAAAGTAAATGTCCTTTGAATTCTATTATTTAAATCAAAAACTGATGATACGTTGTTTCCATTTCACAAATTAATGGTGAACTGTTTATAAAATAAGCTATGATTTCTTGTAACTTGATTGTGAAACATACTAAATCAACTTGAAATGTTTATCATATATATTTTAATTTTTTTAAGAGTATCAACAAAGAAATGAAATATATACAGATATATTATTTTTCAAAGACACAGAATTATAAATGTAGTTTAAAACAGTGATTTAAGTAAATATAAATGTTACTTGATGAATAATTAACATATAGTTACACACTAATAACATCAATGATTTATACCTAAATCCAGGTACAGAATAAAAGGTAAATACTACTGTTACCAAACTTTAGATATCACAGAAGGCATTTGAGCTGTAAAATATTTGTTGTGTTAACCGACATTTCAATATTAGTTGCACACATATAATAATGAGAATTATAATATTACCAAGTTTTGGTTCATAAATGCATTTCAGAAATGCTAATTCCAGATTGTAGAAACACAATGCCCTTTGGTTAATGGTTTTCGAGTATAATATACATAAACTATTTGTAACACTAATGATATCAAACAAGAGAATGGCTAGAAGTTTACAAGAGCTGATTTAGTAAAGAAGGGTTTAATTACTATATTTCAAAACCTGATTTGTTGTACCATAACTTTTCTTGAATCTCAATGTTGAGGATATTGGCCAATTTCAACTCCTAATGACTCTTCAAAATATCAATTCTGAAACAAAAGCATATTTTACGAAATGTTCTACAGTTGGAAGACAAATGTTATTTCAGAAGATATAATTTCTGTATATTCTTTTGATGTAGGTAAACCAAGTTTCAGGTTGTTGCATCTACATCACACCAAGGATTATATGTAACTGTGTTTTTCTTAGCATTGGAGTGCCATTTATCAATTACATTATTTTTTTTTATCTGGACTATTAATATTGTCTGCCCCTTTTTTTCACTACTTGGACACTTTTCTTTCCAGAAGGTTATGTTCCACTATTATTTTATGAACTATTGCATCAGGTAAAGCAGCTAATATACTTTGCTGCTAACAAATCATTAAGCCAGGTTTTGTCAAGTTTAATAAAAAATGTTCACCCTTATTTAGAGTTATAGGACAACTAAATTTTTTTGCCACACATTGTCCATACAAGTGATTCTATCTGAAGAAATTAACTATAACATATTTTGTGTAATAATTTATTAAGAGTGACACTGCCTTTGACAACACCTGTAGCAAATGAAGTAATTCTAATTCTTTCTGTATGCTACTTAGGATTTGGATGTTGTCTGACAGTATATTCTGTTGAACATCAGGAAGAGGATCTGATTTGTCTGAGATACATTGTACATTTAATCTGAAACTCCTGATGTGGAAACTAGAAAGTTTCTAACAAAGTTTGTTGAATACAAGTATTTTGCATTTCTGTACCTTTGTACTTGGCAAATGCAGCTGTTGAATCCCTGTTTGAAGAACTTAAAACTTTGTAATGTCTCTTTTTATATTGAAATTTGCTCAAGCAGTTTCATGAAGGTTATCACAGAACCTGGCATAAGACATTTAGCAGGGACATCAGTACAAGTGAATCATATGGTACTTGAGACCAGTTTCTTGTTTTCATATTTATTAATTTCCCTGGAAGTGTCAGAATGAAAACAGTTGGCTTTAATATGTAATACAAGTTTAAATAAGGTACATGTATGATAATTTGAGTACTAGAGTACATGAAACAAATTTCTAAAATAAGTGCTTCAGCTAAAGTGTTAGAAATTCCCATTTAAGTCTGGTTAATTTTAAAACTAAAGTTACTTGAAATAAAAAAATACATGTATGTGTGAACCCTTGACTTAAAAAAAATTTAGGCCTACTTGAAACTTAAGTTACTTAAACTAAAGAATTAATGGTAATGCATATTGTAATTGCTTTTAGATACGAGTACTGGAATAAAACTTGTATGAGATTTTATGTAGCTAAAATATTTATACTTACCATGTTGTACTGCTACAGGTTGCTGCAATAACTTTTGTTGGTTTTCTTGAACACTGCATGTAACTGATAGATACTATTTCTCATTGAGGGTACACATCTAAGTTTTACAGTAGCCATAGCATGATCATTAGCATTACAATATAAAAGAGAAGTTCTTTGTGTTTAAATTCTTGCAAATCTTAAGAAAGAATTACTCAATTTCATTAATGTTTGTCTACAGATAAATATTTCTTCTCCATCCCCAGAGCTTCATTTAGATTGGAAAAGGTGCATAGCAGTTTTACGTCGTATGTTGCTAACCAGGAGTTCAAACGATTAGCAGTTTGTTGCAACTGCATAGCAGTAATTCATAACCAAAGCTTCATGAGAACAAGTTAAAAGTAAATAAAACAAAATTGGAAGAAATATATGCATTATACATGTAATTGTATTTAATGTAAACTTTAATGAACATCAGTGATTAAGGTAAGGAAAGTTTAGTTAATTAGTGTAATACTGTATTTCATATTTTCATTCTATTTCAACAATATCAGAAGGTTCTGAATGATTTTCAACAATAGGCATTGTTGGTATTATGTTATTTTTCTAACTTTTGCTTTTTATATGGTTGTTTATTAGGCTGCCTTTAGGATTGGAACCATTTATTAACCAGCTTAGACAAAGGCAAATTTTCATTTGGAGGACCAGTTAATGAAATTTGAACACAGTGTTCACAAACAGCTTCAATCAAACATGACCTGTAGTCAGTTTTGACCCTGCCCATGTATAAAAATACACTTTCTAATATGGCATTAAATGCAGGGAATAAACATAAGTAGAATAGCTATGGTATGACATTAGTTTGGTAAACTCTTGCACTGACTTGTGAAAATAACAGATGTTTCAAAGTATTAAAACAGTATACTTTAAATTCTGCAAACTCCAGTTTTAATGCATTTCTATCTACATGGTTATTGTTCAATAAGCCAGAAAAATGCTGCATAAAGGTGTCCAGCTCCTCATTACCAAAATGATCAAGTTCATCCTGTGCTTTTGGCCGTACTTCATAGTTTATTAATTTCAATATTAAAATAAATAAATAGGTTAAATAGTTTTTGTGCATTCAAGTCACAAAATCTTTGGCTTATACAATCATGTATTCAACCTTTGTACCCTGAAACTACATTCATAAAATTTGTAATTTTTCACTCAGATATTGATAAATCCAAACCTTTGTACCTAACCTTGCCACTTTCTTTGGCCTGTATAAGAAATTCATTAATATCTGGGCCAAATTAATATCTGTGATAATTCATAATCTACTCAAAGCATGTAGGAGGTCAATGATATCTTGCTGCAATTTTAAGGAGAGCTCTGCTAAAGATGTTGAGATTTACCACAAACTTCCTTGACTTGAGTCTTTTGAAGGTTTTCTTTATCTACCCCCCCCTCTCACAGGCCTATAGATCTACTAGTACGTCTAATTGTGTGATGTTTGGTTTCTAAAAAAATCCAGCGGCATGCTAATTCACATCAATGATGTCATACAAACATTATGTGGGACTTCTTTTCTGAAACTGATTCATGAGCACAATGCACCTAGAAGTTGGTCTATAGATCTATAACATATATAAAATACAGATGCCAAACGAATACATGATACTTCAAGTACTAGTAGACATGACTTAAGAATGATCTAGGCCTTATCAGTGTCTAAACTACATTGTTTAATATTATAATAATGAATATATTGTGTAAATATCAGTCGTATATTAATATGCAAACATCTCAGACGTCTAGACTTCATACCCTAGAAATTTAGGTGACGATATTATACTGGGCCTGGAACATTGTAGATGTGGTTAGGGCTGTTGGGTTTGCATTTGAATGCTATTTATAGAACTCCCATCTTTCAAATGCATTTAAAATAGGTCTAGTCTCTAAGTTTCAATAAGTCTATAGAATGTCAATGAAGTAAGAATAAATTCATATAGACATAGATCTCACTTCTTAGGCCTGCTACTCTGTGACTTGTATTTATATACACCATTCATCAACCCAACTCCCCTGCTTGCATATGCTTGAGTAAAATGGTATGTCCCAGCTTTGAAATTTTCTAGTATGTATGGTTGAGTGGCAAGACTATTTCCACAAGGAAAAATTCAGTATTAGGTCCTACATAAAATAAATGGTGATTCACAGTCACTTCTATTATGTATATATCAAATTGAGATGCGAACGTGGCCAAATTGAGCCCTGTCCATCCCTATTTTGTAGTTATGAATATTACAATAGGGGCACTAAATGCAATCTGTAACATGGGTTGTTAGCACAGGTATTTGTTAAATATGAAGAATGATTTATTTAGATTAAGAGTTAAAGTTAGTGTTTATATATTTTTTTGTAGCTGTTAGACGAGTAAATTATTCAGAATTATCAATTAAGTGTAACTAGATGTTTACACTTGTACTTGTGATACTTAGTAATTAATAGTATGAGTAACAATTAACAGAGAATTTTAGTGTTAGATTTTTAGGCGATTTACAAACTGTTAATTAAATTTACACATTGGTTGGCTAAACATATAATAATGTTAACAGGATTAAGACTTATGTTAGTATAACTTCAATATGGTTAGAGATAGTTCATGGGTAAGTGAGGTAGAGTTTTATAGGATGTGATATGTGCCAGGATTGGGCTATGTTTGTGAATTGAAGGTGGATCTGAAAGATACAGCACTACACTTTAAGTTACTAGTTAGGCCTTTGGAATATTGTGTACAATTTTTGAGATATTGTTCAACAGAGAACTAATTTAAATGATTCATGGGATGAAAGGATTATCTTTTGGGAGTAGGTTAAGATCTCTATTTCCTATTGAGAAAACAAGGGTAAGAAGTGACAGTACTAAGTTTACAAGATCATCCAGAAGAACATGAAAATAAACAGCTATCTTTTCTTAAACTCAACTTAATTATATCAAAAACACAGTTCAAAATCACTCGCACAGGCCTTTACATCCCCTGGAATTCCCCCCATGAATCCAAACAAAAACTCAATATACTAAAAAACTTTATAGACACAGTTTTAAGACTTTGCTCAACTGACTACATAGATAAAGAAACCAATTTTATAAAACTCCTTTGTTCACATCAACCATTGTTGAAAAATTTCCACACAACCACCAGAAAGAAAATCTGAAAACTCAACTCGCAAACAAAATTGACACTAATATATCAAACAACAATACGCTGTAGTTTACCATATATCCCTGAAATTAGTTCAAAAATAATCAACACTTGGAGAAGACTTGCCATTAAACATAAAATTCCTGTTGACTTCAAATTCACTCAAAATCTCAGTCCTAAACTAAAATCATTAATAAACAGAAATCATATAGAATCATACAATAGCAACATTGTTTATAAAATAAAGTGCAATAACCGTCCAGAATTCTACATAGGAAAAATCGGTTGAAAATTGGAAACCAGATTCAGCGAACATAATTAAAAAAAAAAAACTACCCATATTGACTACCATTGCAACTCTAAGAACCATAGTATATCTATACAAAACAATGTAATTTTAAACAAAGAACCGGACATCAACAAACACAAAATAAAGGAACTTATCTTAATTGAACAAAACAGCCCTACTCTAAACCAATATAAGATACCTTTACTATACTGTTAAGCAATCTCAGTCATGTGACCTCTTTGTTCCATGCTGTACATATATTCATGTGGCTCTGTAAACTACTTGTACCTGATGATGACATGACCTTGTTGAAACATTGTACATTTATAATAAGTTTTCTTCATTACCCTTTCAAGCCATTTCCACATTTTCAGTTACTGTATGTTTCCTTAGCAGTTGGTGGACTAATGTGAATAATAGAGCTTTAAGATCTACGCAACAACTTCTCTAAATACACTAAGTGAAAATTATACAACTTAATGAATTGTGTTTAACTCATGGATGTTGAGAAATAGTTCTACAGTAGAGTAGCATACTTCAATGCCCCCACCCCTTGATGGCTCATGAAGCTAAAACATCATGTTTTGATATCTGTGGTGGGCAGAGCACAGATAGCCCTTTGTGTAGCTTCATGCTTATTGACAAAACAAACATACTTCAATGTGTATTGTACAAAATATAAAGTATATATCCATAAATATGATTCCTTCTGCTTTCTCTGTACAATACTAGTTTTTTTTTTTTACTGTACATAATAATGGAAAGCTCCAGCTTAATGGCACTGTTTGTAATACACGTACTTCACACTTAGTTGTAACATTTTTCAATAAGCTTTTATGAACCTATTATTTATATTAAATTGTAGAATACTATGTAACCAGTTAGATGATGTATTTACCATTTTCACGTCATGGTTCATATATATACTTTATTAAGAAAGTTTAAACTTGAAAAAAGTGAAATGCTATGTGTATGTACAGTAAGTTTAAAGGAATGAAAAGAAACATGTACAGAGTAATATGAAGTTAGTTTTAAATTTCATAATTTATTGTTACTGTGGCAAAACTCCATGTAGAGATTAATCATATTTGTGGAATTCAGAATGTATGTAAAAAAATTGGTATATTTACAAAGTTAACTAAATGAGGAAGAAGTTTTTGTATTTTCCTTTTAATCCAACATGTTTTTCTGGAATTTCTGTTGAATACTGAAAATTTATTTTAACCTCTTAAATGCTTGTACAGAATTCTGATAACAGAAATTCTCTCTGTACAGTAATTTGTTGATCTAAGACAACTTACTATCAAGATAGTTAATAATAAAGAATAAGAATTAAAAATATTTGACATAAGCAAACTTTGAGAGCTTGCATAACAAATACAGTTCAAGTACAATATGTTCTGGGTTTTACAGTATATGTTTATCATTCATATATATATATATATTTTTTTTCTTTTACAGGTTAATATTGAAAGTTGTTAGACACTAAATATAGCACAAGTATGTTTACACGTAATCTTGTGATAGCCAAAAACTTGTATTTGAAGACAGTTGTGTATCAAAGATGTTTTCTAACAAGGCCACTGCACTCAAGATCTTTTGTTAAAAAAAGTAGCATACCACATACTTTATTATGTCCAATGAAAAGATACTTAAGTTCAAAGATAAAAGAAATAAGCTGTGTAGCAGGCATTGCTGAGGAAGATGCAAAAAAACTGGTTGACCTTACTCCCCAGTTGTTAGAATATTCTTCAGGTAGTTGGGAAGGTTTACTAAAACTACTCTCTAGTCATGGTCTAAGTCAGAAACAAATATTTAAAATGCTGTCTGACTCTCCATCATTGCTGGCTATTAAAACTGATGTTGTTGCATCTACTCTAGATTATTGGAGATCTCTGAAACTTGGAGAAGCTAGAGTGTTCAACATATTAGGTCAGTGTCCTTCTTTACTCTTACTTAAACCATCATATCTTCAAAAAAGAATAAAAATGTTAAATTCTTTATTCACAAGTGAAGATATTTTGAAACTTGCTGAAACATGCCCACAAGTTTTAGTGGAACCATGGCATGAGATTCAACTGAAAACTGATTACCTGTTATTTGTGGTGGGGATTGAACAACCTCAAATAATCAAGTCCTCATTGTTAAAATATAGTTTAAAGCATATTAAAACAAGACACCAGTTTGCTCTACATAGTGGCTGTTACAGAAAACCTCATGGAAAACATAAAAATTTAGTGAAAAATCCTTCTCTAAGGCTTATATTTAACTCCTCCATTAAAGACTTTCTCAAATTATCAGGTTTAACTGTAGAAGAATACACTGTGTTCTGTGAATTAATGGAGAAAAAAATGAAGTCAGAAGATGAAGATATGTTAAAGAACAGTTCAGAGTGAACTTTCATGGGAACTTATGTTGAAAAAAATAATGTACTCATGTACATGGTTAAGTCACACATTATATTCAAATGTGTTTGCATTAGAATGTTTACAATTATTATGTAAAAAATATAATTTTTTTTAAATGAAGTATCAGCAACAACTGTTACTATGTTAAGATGAACTGTTTGTTTACCTTTACTGACAAGCAACTTTTACTGTATCAGAGGTTCTCTTTTGAATGAATAAAGTTTATCGTGATTAATAGGTAAGTTTCTGGTAATTAGCAATGTACAGATCTTGTATCATATTTAGTTATGTTTGTTAACACTGAGAAACTTTGGAATCTTCAGTGCTAATAATAATAACATAATCTAGTACACAGTTTTCCTTGAAAGGTCACGTAAAAAAATTTATTTGTTCATTTTTTAATGTAAAAATGAGGATTTTTCATAGAAAACTGGGTAAAAATTTGATATTTATAATGCTTTGATTTGTATTGTACACCATGTAATTTGATAAACATCTCAATTGTAGATAATAATTTAAACATCAGTACATGATTAACAATATTTTAAGTAAACAAGACTAGGTGTGCATATTTAACCAGTTTGTCTTTATGTAAGTGAAGCATTTAATATAACTTGTATACATTTTAATCCTTGGAGAACAGTGGTTAAATTCCAATTTAGCTTGATTAATTGACTCACTTTTGTGCAATTCAATAGCAACATTTTTTATATTTTCAGTGTTAATGCTATTGAAGTTTAACACTAAGCATCCTCACTCAATGAACTGAAGCTATGATCAAAAACTAGTTACCGTGAACAGGAATATCACAGTTTCATGCTTGCTTATGTACATGTGATAACATGCTGATCATTCTTTTCAAGTGTTCCTTAACCCTTTCATTATGGGCTGGGTGGAATCCATGAGAGTAATATACTATGATTTTTAACAATGTAAGCATACCTTTATAAAATTTTGCAGGTTATTGGTAAATATTACAAGGCTTTCGTACACAAAATATCAGGTTTTCTCAAATTTTTTCTTTCAGAATGTTGACTATCCAATAGGCAAAGTAATTTTGATTTTAAGAATAAAAATACTTTTATGCATTAGAACATTTTCAAATTTCACATGAAAAATCTTTATAACTTCCAGATAATTTTTTTAGATAAACAAATTATATTCTATCTGTTATTTTCACTATTGTATCTCTGTATGGGTTGGTTTGATTGAACCAACTTTGTAATCTCAGGAAATTCACTATTGCATTACAAGTTGCAAAAAAAATTGACATTTTAAACATGTTAATTGTAAAACATCTATACTTACAAGTATGTGGCCTGCTGTGTTAATATTATCATTGAATTAAAACATATTTAAAATTAATGAAGTTATTTACCTTAAAGTGCTGTTGAATGAGGTTATCCATGATTTATTATTTAAATGATGCACCACATACTAAAAAAATTTTAAAGTTAAATATAAGTGCAATTGCATAAAAAAATAAATTAAAACATATTTAAGGTTAAATACAAAACTCATCTTTAATTTACACTAATTATCTCATTTACAAAAATCAATGTAAGTTACAGGATGTCCGTGTAGATCCTGGCTTCGTTTTGTTTACACAAGTACATGAAAATATCAGAAGCAGCAAATTTCATTAGATATGATTACTTTCACAATTATTTGTGTGCATATTTGAAGGCTATACACTAAAAAAACAAAGCATACAATAGTTTTTCTTTGTTCTCTATAAGTATTCTGATCAATAATACAGCTTGGTTGATGTTATTGGATGACAGGAACAATGTTACATCTGAAAATAAAAATAAAGCATGTAGTTATATTTAATTTTTTTAAATAAATGCACTTTAACAGAAAGGTGAGGGCCCATTATTCTAAAGGCCCGATAGTCTGAAGATGTTTTCACAGGTAAAATGTTCAACATGTGAAATTTTATGACAAACACCCCAGGATATGACCGAAAAGGTTGCAATTTCTCAGGAATGGATGGACATTGGTTATCATCATTTCCCCAATGTTATTTTCTTCTATCTATGCACGTATAATATTAGTTGCAGAGCCCACCTTTTTACGCATCAGGATTGGATTTGGGAATCTCTCTCTTCTGAGAGAATGGACATTCAAGATGTGACAACAAATGTTATACATGTTGAAAGCTTCCAGTCAATAAAATTATCTTAACACTGAGCCAATGCAATGAGCTGTACTCTATAATTTTGATTCAGATATTTCTGCTGTATTTAAAATGAGCAAGCTGGTTCCCTGAATCTGTGACTATCGAGCTTTCAAAATACTGGGAAGTTACCTGAGAAAACCTCATGATTTTAAGTCATACTTATACCTTACTTAAAAAGTTTGTTTTTTTTATATGTACACCACTTCATAATCTAAAATTTATGAACAATAACTTATCAACAACAGATTTTGTCGCTTTGAGTAAGGATACATGTTTATTTTACAGACCCCCTAGCCAGTTATTTTTTAAAATAAAGGAAGAAATATTTTACAGTGGTTTTGTCACATTTCATATCATCAACACAGAAATAGCCAGCAGGATATATATCTATTTGTAGTTTGGTAACTGTGTTTTTATTTTAATGTCATGCATTGTACTGTTATTAATTGTAAACAGAAATTTAGTGGTTACTTACCTATATATGGTAATCTGGCAACAACTACTCTGAAACGTTACATCAAGTGCCTTTAAACTTAAAAGATCTTTTGAATTGTTTTTGTTGGATTGTTTTCCACATCTAAAATGCATTTTTATTTTTTAAAAAGAAAGTTTCTATAAAAGCACAGTGACTATTATTACCAGTGTAGTTAATAAGTGTTTTAAGATATACTTGGATGATTCTAGAGACATAACTAATAATGTATTTCATACTGCAGCAGTAGGTGCTAGTCAAGTTAGAGACCAGAGGATAATAATAATTAACATTAGCAGAAGAATTTACATCTGTTGGAGTGATGGAATAACAAGGCAACTGAGTTGTATCCACATATCAGTGAAAAATAACTTAAAAACTTCAAATGACATGTATTTAAAAGTGACATATGACATTAAAATCAAAACATATGCATCCACAAAATGACTAATTATACTCCACAAAACTGACTTAACAATGGTAATGTATGTTATTGCATGCATGTTAAGAAGAATTAGAATGACTAAGTGACAGAAAATCACAAGCTGTTGTACAAAAAAATTCCAAAGGCCAAGAATTATTTCTGTTTGTATGGTTGAATCAGGAGAGATTCTTTTTAATTTATGATCAAGGAAACTTCTATGTTTTGCTAAATGTAGTAGTTTCCTTGACTGTAAATTCAAAAGTCTCCAGATTCAATTTTATAAAAAGAAATAATTTTTGGCCTTTGCAATTAATTTATTTGATGAATAGCTTGTGATTTTCTGTTTTAGTTGTTCTAATTCTTCTTAACATGCAATAGTATCCAACATTACCATTGTTAAGTCAGTTATATTTTGTGCGTTCTTTTCTGTTATCAGTTTGTATTTGTATATGATGCTGTAAATCATGCAAAACGCAGGGTTTGAATAAAATAATGTTTTTCTGGAATGTGATTAGTAATTTTTTTTTGCAAACATGGTTTCAATCCTCAGTCTGCTTTGCAAAGTCTAAACACTGATATACTTTTATTGTATGAATATATGCAGCACACCAGTGTTTATATGTCCTGCTGACAGAATTAGATGTGTTATGAAAAACTTTTAAATTTTACAAATATAAAGGCATTTTACAGGTTGAAGAAAGTGAGGGTTTTAAAACCTGAAAAATAGTTACCCAAAGGTTCCCTAGAGGGCCTGATCTTATTAGGAAACTACAATGAAATGATAAGTATGAGAACTACTTCAGATGTATGTAATCTTCAATTGAGCAACAACATCACACATGAACAGTTATGGAAACACGATGACCTGACTTCCATTCAGCACTAATCCACTAAAACATCACACACCAGCATGTATAGAAATATGAGTGGACTTTCATTCAGCACCAGTTCACTAAAATGGGTGTAGAAATACGATGATGGTTTTAAAGTTTTGACAACAACTAGCAAATATCTGCCAGTGGCCAAGAAAAGGAATTCCTGTATTCAGTTGACATCATAGTAGTTACTTTTTTTATGCTCAAACAACTGGCCAATGAATTTGATAGTTCAGATCATACAGTTTTTACAACTACTTTCATGCTCTGTAACCTATAAACAGCCTCCACTGTACACCAGATTATTTCTCTAGCAGGAATCAAAGTATCTTAATCTAGTTCCATAAAAAGAAAACTAACGGCAAAATTCTTGACTTAATTTGTATCAGCAATTTTTTCCCACTCATTTGCTTCTCAAGCAGAAGAAATATAACCCATGTAATACAGAGGTGAACATTTTCAATGAAATAAAAAGGAAAATTACAATGCCTGAAATATACTCATCTTTTCATCACTTTTCTTTTAAGTTAATGTAAAGGAAAGTCATAAGATAACAGTGATTCTCAAAAATGTGTTAAGTTTGACTGAGATTATCAAGACTTCTCCTGTTCATGGATCTGTAATGTTATTTGATTAAATGAAAATGTATAATGATATTAAGGAGTTTCTAAGAAGATAAAGCAAGATATTTTTCTAATCCAGACAGGTAGAATTTATGTAGATAACCATTATTTATAATCTTTAATACAACTTAAATTCTGAATTTAGTTACATAATGTGACTTTTCTCAATAGAATACCTCTTGATATTTATTTCAACTGGCCAAATTTTGGTATTCTAAAATGACAATAAAACAGTTTTATTGCTGATCCATAGTGAGAAACACATAACAAAAACTACAAGATAATTGCACATTACCCTAAAAATCCTCTTCCACTCCATGATTGAGGTTTTAATGACAATGACAGCAATTTGGAATCTCTAATTACTTCTACCACAATTGGTTTCTGAAAAACACAAAGAAAAACATTTTCTTACAACATGCCATATTAAATTTGTATTTTTCTACCACTGCTTTTCAACAGCCATAAAATATGGATTACATCTACTGTGATCTGTGACATGATATACAGCTTAAATTTTCAAACTGTTTACTTGTAAACTATATTTTTAGTTGTTTTTATCATTTAGTCATTTTCATGTTTAATATGAAGTATGCATCCATTGTGATGTAAAGATAAAAATGCATCACTACATGTACTGCAACCAACATCATATTAGTACAAGAGATGCCTTTTGCTACACAGTTAATGATGAGTGGCACACAAGTTCTACAAATATATAACAGTTCCATCAAGCTTTGTGACATAAGCATAAAATGTTCAAAGACAATTAATACACATTATCGTTTGGTTGAGTCTAGAAGGTAGAGAGAGTGTATTATAATTAATGGACAATTTAATTAACTTGCTTAGATTTTTGTTACACGTGAATAGAGTTCTTAACCTTGCACACATTGATCCAAAATGTTTCTGAAAATAACATGAAACATTAGGTCTTATTTAGTTAGAACGTTATTCCTTCTTTTGCTGGGTGACGTTTAATTGGTATAAAAGTTTGAATTAAAGAAATAATGCTACATCCATTTATATAGATCATGTTTTCATAATATTAATAGTTTATATTTAATTTTCAAACTATTATTGCCATACTGAAAAAATTTGGGATATTACAAATATTGACATGACACACAAGTAAAATTCAATGATACTATTTTTCTCTAACAAAAAAGTTAACAATGTTAAATATTATACCATATTTACTTGAAAGAGATTACATTTATTGAAACGATTTTAGTAGATGAAATTAGTTTGAAACAATAAAAGTATGGAAATTATACATATTGAGAGTATGCAATTTCATATTGTTAACCCTATGCTCATGAGTGGGGTTCAAATTGCATAAACCATGACCTTTAACCTAATGCCCCCCTGCTACTAACTTTCTGCATAGCCAATGCAAGTCTTGCTATA